GGCTTCTCTTCTTGACGAGGGATTCACAATCTGACCAGCTCAGGGTCTCTGGATGCAGAATTGCAGCTACTGGGGTAAAGCACAAGCAGTGTCTACTCCTCCACCCGCTGTGACTTTGTCTACTTTAGGTTGCTGTGGGGGGAGGGGGGGAGTTGCTGGTCTTCACCTTTATCACCTTTATCTGTGGCAACTAAGCAGATTTTCAGGAAAGCTGCGTTAATCTCTTGAACCACTGTATAAAGATGATGGCTTCCTGCTACTGTAGACCACGGTATAGTCTTTAGTTATTTTTCATAGTGATTTCAGTGCTGAGATTTCATTCTCTTCCACAAAATTAAGTACTTCTGCATGCCTCCTGTGTTTCGAGTCTACAGGGACCAACCCTCCACTGTTAACTACTCAGAAGGGCACTGTTCCCCAGAGAACCTTACAGGGAGAGATGGGCTGGTTGGCATTTTTGTTGTTTGGCTTGTAATGGTCCTGTCCATGTTTGGGATTCACTCACCTTCTTCCCTCCTTCCCCCTTCCCTCCTTCCCTCCTTCCCTCCCTCCCTCTCCCCTTCTCTCCCTTCTTTCCCCTTCTCTCTCTCTCTCTCTCTCTCTCTCTCTCTTTCTTTCTTTCTTTCTTTCTTCCTTCCTTCCTCCCTCCCTTCATTTCTTTCTTTCCTTCTTTCTTTATCTTTCTTTCTTCCTCCCTCCCTCTTTCTTTTCTTTCTTTCTTTCTTTCTTTCTTTCTTTCTTTCTTTCTTTCTTTCTTTCTTTCTCACACCCACTTGTGATGGTGGCAAATGCTCCCTTCATGTGACCCTAGCTGTGAGCTCTGAGCCATTATGAGTCACTCACTGGGTGCACCTGCTTGACCTTGTAGGCTTCCAGACTTGTGAGCTAAGCAAACTTCGTTTCTTTACGGCTAATCCCGTTTCTGGTATTTTGTTCTAACAACGCAACATGGACTGAGAGGTGCAGCGACCCCTGGTAAGAGCAGTAATAGAACTGGTCTATTTGGAAACGTTTGGCAAGGGTGTTCCCTTGGTTTATCTTCATATCAACCTCTGAGGTCTGCCGAGAAAACTTACGGTCTCTATAATGTGGAGGGGACACCATTAGTGTCAAGGTGGTGACATCATTATTCTGACATCATGTCTGGTCAGTGGCACAGTTTGGGTAAAATCAAGAGCGTCTAACACCCTCTTTAGACTTCCGACTCTGGGGTGGATTCCTGGCATAGAGAGATCTGTAGAACATTTAAAGTTGACAGGACACACCATGGACAGATCCACCTGCTGGTTCTGAAGGGCTGGCCAGTCCACCTAGATTCCTACGCCATATTCCTCTTTCTCAGTGACCCTATTCACTACACATTATAAGGCCCAATGGTGTACTGGGTGTGAGTGTTTATCGTTATCGTCAACCTGACTGGCCTTGGCACCCCTTCACTCTCCCTCCACACGTACAAGAAGTTATAAGGCCTCTGCCAAGATGTCAACAAAAGGTTATCCTGGCCCCGTGAACTAGGGTAAGGCTTTCTCTTTCATCCTTGTTTTGTGTGAATAAACGCTTTCAGTGGTCATGCGTGTACTCTGCCAAGTTTCCACTCTGCTCTCTCAACAATGACCCACCTGCCTCAGGTGAGGGACACAAGGTGACTGCCGAAACTACAGAGCAAACCGGCAAAGACTGGTCTGGCCCAGACAGATCCCGGAAGCAGGGGCTGAAGAGTGTAAACAGACTCAAAGACTGCGGACCGCAGGTTTAGAGGGAGACAGTAGACGGCTGTATTTACTGTGGGGGCAGTCTCTAAGGGGAAGGCGCATCTCTGCATTTCCCTTTCCCAGAGTTCAAATCAGTAACTGAGTTGGTATAAACACAACATTGCTCAAGGGGAAAGCGGCCACGAAGAGGTGCGGCTGTGGCCGCTGGGGCTTGGGGCTGCGCAGGGAGCAGGGACCTGGAGATGATTAAAGCAGGAATCTCCAAATGGGGTTCTTTTAAGATTCTAAGTGACGGATTTGAGAGCCTTAACTTTTATGTTTTCTTCTTGAAGGTGAAGCTAATCAGGTAGAGCGTCTGGAGAGGGAACAGCTGTGAGTCACTGTGAAACGCAGGCAGTTTCAGGGACAATTAGACCTTTCAAGGGAAGGAATGAGACACATTGTGCGAAACGGTGGAGTCATTTTCAATGGGTGTGTGAGTTCTGAACTAGTTTTGGTATTCAAGTTTGGTTATTTGTACAAAGGATGGATTTACCTTTCAATGGGCTGTTGTCTTCCTTTGGTCTCCACTCGCCAACTGGGAATTCATTTATTTCTAAAGCAGTACAGGGCTTTTTGGTTTCAACTACAAAAAGTGAATGGGCCTCTGTCTTTCAAGGTTGCACATTTTTCTGTGTCGTTTAGGAGAGATAAGGACTCCAGTGCTGCCGAACACAATAGGCTATTCTGGTCCCCCAGAGGTAGCTGAGCTTGGTGAGGAATCTCTGGTCTTGACCCTACACCCACCTTGAAGCAGAAACTTTGTTGTCACAGCCCCCAAACAAATCCACTGCACAAAGGATTAATGAATAATGATAATGTTACTGGCCGTTTCTTGGGGAGACAGAAAAGATCTATGTATCCTCTAGAGATAGTTTTGATTTGTAGAAAAGCCTAACAAAAAATTTCACGAGACACACATGCTTCCCCCACCCAAAGGGGAAAGGGTCACACTCTTTTTGTCTCTCTTTTTCTTTTGGCATTCTTAAACAAAAATGATCTAATCCTCCCAGCTATCCCTCCGCCTGACCAGTGAAGAAGGACCTTGCTTTAGGAGGACCAGAGGGTCTAGGATTTGGGGGAAGGATCAAGAAATTGCTAATTAACCTGAAATATGCCAATAATTGATCATAAGTGGAGACGAGGAATGACCCCCACCTTGTGGCAACTTCTGATCTTGCCAATATTGGGTTTCCTTTGGGCATGGGAGCCTCTTCTTATACAATATTTTAAATTTATTCTTTGGCAATTTCATAAGGGTATACAATATATTTTTATCATATTAATCCTCCACTTTCCCCTCCATCTATGGATCTACCCACCTATTCATCCCTCCCTCCCTCTCTCCCTCCCTCCCTTCTTCCCTCCATTCATCCCTCCATCCAATCTTATAGATCATCCACTATAATCAAGGGGAATGTTAAAAACAGAGATGAGCAAAACTGACAAGATTTGCTGTGCTCTTGTGAGAAGAGAACTGAGTGGCTATCACTGACTACATAAGAGTATCTGTGGGTGATAAATTCTTTGAAAGCAATTCTGATATCAGGTGAATAACAAAGGCCTTATTAATGGCTTGGCATTTGCTGACCTAAACTTTCAGGGCTCACAAAGCAAAATTACAGTTGACATGTCCCACACCTTTCAAACTTGAACTTTTGGGGTCAGTGTCTGAAGTATGTTGTTCAACTCCTACAGGATAAACAGGAATCTAAAGCAAAATAGCAAAATTTCTTCTATACAGGGACAGACAGTACTGATTGTTGGCTTTGTAGGTTATACGGGCTCTATCATACTACAGAGCTCTGCTGTTTCCCACACAGAGGAAATCACTGTGTTCATATATGTTTTTACAGAATGAGGGTAGCAAGCGTGGTGGGTGGCACACGCCTTTAATCCCAGCACTCGGAGGCAGAGACAGGCGGATCTCTGTGAGTTCGAGGCCAGCCTGGTCTACAAGAGCTAGTTCCAGGACAGGAACCAAAAGCTATGGAGAAACCCTGTCTCGAAAAATCAAAAAAAAAAAAAAAAAAAAAAAACCAGAATAAGGGTAGCTTGTGTTGGACCTGTTAGCTGCAGTTTGCTACCTCTGAACTAGGTTGCACTTTTTCAAAATTTCTTCCAAGTGATACCGGCAGTCATTTTCCTCATTGGGCAAATGCTCCTTCTGCATATAATCTTTGTTTTATTCTCTTTTTTCTTAAGACAATTCAAATTACAGTCACCTAATCTGGAAAGTTTTACATAGGTAATATGCTGGGTAGTTTTGATTGTCAGATTGACTCCACAAGGAACAACCTGGGAAGAAAGCGTCAATGAGGGACTGTTCAGATTGACTTGCCTTTGAGGGCAAGTCTGTGGACGGTTGTCTTGATTGCATTGATTGAGGTGGGAGGCTCTGCCCACTGGGGATGGTGTCATTCCTTGGGCAAGGGATCCTGGGCTTTATGGGAGTGGAGGGGGTGAGCTGAGTATACGCATGCAAGTCTTATTTTCTCTTGTCCTGATGAGGAAGGTGATGCAGCTGGCTGCCTCAATCTCCTGCCTACCACTCTGACTTTCCCTATGGATTGTAACTTAGAATCCTGAAGTAGAACAAACTTTTTGCTCCCTAAGTTGCCTTTGGTAGGATGTTTCATCGTGGCAACGGGAAGCGAGACTGTGGTGGTTTGAATTAGAATAGTTCCCAGAGGCTCACGTGTTTTGGTCCTCAGTGGTGGAACTGTTTGGGAAGAATTAAGAGAGAAGGCCTTCTTAGAGAAGGTGTGTCACCGAGAGTGGGCTTTGACGGTTCAGAAGCCCGTGCTTTCCCAGGAAGCGCGCTCTGTCTCTGTCTCTCTCTCTCTCCTTAGAGATAAGGATGTAAGCTCTCAGCTGCTTCTCCAGTGCCATGCCTGTCTGCTGCCATGCTTCCCACCATGCTGGTCATGGACACACCCTCTGAGTCCAGGTTAAGTCCATTGTAAGCCCCAATGAACTCACTTTCTTCTGTGAGTTAGTTGCCTTGGTTGTGGTGTTCTGTATGGCAATAGAAAAGCAACTAAGAAATCATGACAGGAATTGGTACTGAATTCCTTTGCTGTGACAAACTTGTGGCTTTAAATCTCATGGCTTTTTAAAGCATTGGAATGGCTTTGTGACTGGAAGGCAGAAGGGTTGGGAACTCTGTGTTAGGGACCTTGGATTCCGGAAGCCAAGCTTAATGGGTTATGCTGGTGTGAAGACGGAAGAAAAAACTGTACCGGCCAGGCAGTGGTGGCACACACCTTTGATCCCAGCACTTGGGAGACAAAGGCAGGAGGATCCCTGTGAGTTTGAGACCAGCCTGGTCTATAGAGTGAGTTCCTGGACTGAATAAGAAGGCTACACATAGAAACCCTGTCTCAAAAAAACCAAATAAATAAATAAATAAGCAAACAAACAAACAAATAAATAAATAAATAAGAGACTTTGTACCTTTTTAAGGTTTGTTTGTATTTTGTGCGTGTGTGTGTGTGCGTGTGTGTGTGTGTGTGTGTGTGTGTGTGGTGTGTTCTGGAGAGAAGTGTTCATTTCCTTTCCTAACTTTTCTCTTCCCCCATCTTCTCTCCTGCTCCTGTCTCTCCCTTAATCCTTCCCTCCCTTCCTCCTCCTCCTCCTCCCCCTCCCCCCTCTCTGCTAGAAAGACTATTTCACAGTGTTCTCTTCCACCTTCAGTTACATCATTGTACCCTCTTTGATCTGAGAGACCCGCCTTCCACAGTTGGTGTACTGTTGCTGCCAACTGATGTGACGTCAATTGGTTTGATCACATCCACCCACTACTTCCCTCCTCCAACTTTCCCCAAACCACCCCCTCACGTCTTCCTCCTTAAGTCATAGCTCATTCTTTTCCTTTTTAGTTCACCCACTGAGTCTGATTGGCGCACCTCTATGCCCACGCACTGGGAACCTACCAGAGGCCACACTCCAAAGAATGACTCACCCTCCTTTGGCACCACCAACTACTGATGGTCCTCAGTGAGGGTAGGGCCTCCTGAGGTGCTCGCCTGTTCCTGCGGGAGTTTTCAGTGGCTTGATCTTATGCAGGTAACCACAGCTGGTGTGTTAATGAGTGTAACGACCGTGCCACGTGTGTAAGATGTTATCTCATGGCATTCTACCCATCCTGCGGCTCTTACATTCTTTCTTTTGTTCTTCCATGACCCCTGAGCCTTGGGGGATGGAGGTGGGGATTTGATATACATTCTTAATTTATGAGCGAGAATTCATAGTCAGTCACGTATTCTCAGCATTTAGAACCGTTGTGACCCTGTGTTAACTGCTATCTACTGCAAAAGGAAGATCCTGGGACGAAGGTTGAGAGTAGTACCAATTTATATATATAAATACAATTTTAAAAAAGGCAGTTTGACAACATGACCACTTAACAAAACAATAGTAATAAGTCCCCCTAGGGCTCTGATCTCCTCAGGCATAGACTTAAAGACTAGGTTTACAATACTAGGCATGAACTCTCTACTGTGGAGCAGGTCTCGCTTCAAACCCATTTGTAAAGTGGTTGATTATCCCATAATAATCATGACATTGTTGTACCAGTGGACACATTTTGCCCAGAAAGTTGATATATCAAATTTTGAAATCTACTTATCTGTAGATACGAGGGAGTCTTTGTATTTATATTTCGTTCCAAAGTAAGCTGAAGCATTAGGATGCCTTACTTTTAAAATACTGAAAAATAAGACATTCTTTTATTGCCATAACTATATAATCAGTCCCAAGAAATTTAACTTTGAAATATTGTCATTAATATATTGTCTATAGTAACATAAAATTCACCCAATAATGCCCTTTAGATCCATTTAACATCTATGACCCCCCTGCTCCCCATCCCGCACCTCTTCCTTCTCCACATTTCTGTGCTGGGGATCAGACTGAGGGTCCCACACATAGGGAGTTAAACTTCTCATCATGCAGCTCTATTGCAGCCTTATACAATATATTATATATTTGCTTTACTTTAATTAAAATTTTTAAATGATTTGTTTTTATTTTATGTGCATTGGTGTCTTACCTGGATGTATGTCTGTGTGAGGGTGCCTAATTCCTTAGCACTGTAGATACAAACAGTTGTGAGCGACCATGTGGATGCTGGGAATTGAACCCAGGTCCTTTGGAAGAGCAGTCAGTGCTCTAACTGCGGAGCCATCTCTCCAGCCCCACACTCTACTTTAATTTTCCAAAAAAAGTTGCTTTTTTTAAAAAATATTTATTTATTTATTATTTATACAATATTCTGTATGCCTGCTGGCCAGAAGAGGGCACCAGACCCCATTACAGATGGTTGTGAGCCACCATGTGGTTGCTGGGAATTGAACTCAGGACCTTTGGTAGGGCAGGCAATGCTCTTAACCTCTGAGCCATCTCTCCAGCCCCCTTCTTTTTCTTTTAGACAAAGAAAGTTTTAAATAATCCAGATCAGTGGTTTTACATAATGCATGATTTATGCTTTTCTAGCTATGCATATCTATATTTATCTAATTATGATTAGATCCAGGAAAAACATTTTTTTTGGCAAAAATTCTAAATAATTATCTTTCTCACTCATGAGACCCAAAATGTCTGTCTCATTCCTGGTTCTATTTGTTTCTTAGGTTGGTGTCCGTCAGTTTCATCATTATTAGCTATTTATTTCTCTTTGCAATTACGTAAGCAATCATGGGTGATATTCTGGGACTGGATCCCCGTTACCTACACCTTTCACTCAGGCTCATGGGTTATCCTAACCTGGATCAGTCACTATCACGATGGCTCTCATAAATCACATCTCTTAAACGCTATCATCTCCAAATAGAGCTGTTTCTAATTTTTCTTATGTAATTACAGTCTTAAGGGAATAAAAAAAAGTTGGTTTATTCACAGATACTACACTGCTTATCCCAATGGAGGTCTTGGTAAATCCGTGGGGATAAAATTTAGAATCTATTCGACCTATTTACTGTGTGATCTGAAAGCCATCCGGTTTGATTAGTGCTGGGCTGGAAGGAAGGGTCCCCATGGGCAAAGGCTCCACAGCCTGCTCTTCTTCTAGGATCTTTAGAACTCAGTAGGTGACCTATAAGACCTGAGGCAGTTTGGTTTGCTACAATTTTGGGAGAAAATCTTGTCTCTTTCAACAAAAACTTTTATAAAGTTTAAAGGAAGTACCCTGCCTTGCATTTGGGCTGTTACAGTCTGAATGTCTGTGCTTCTATTTCCCCCTGTTTATATGATGAAGTCCTAAACCCCAAGGTCAAGGTGGTGCCTTTCAGACCTGGATAAGTAATAAGGACTGATTCTTCATAAATAGGGCTATTGCCCTTATAAAAGAGACCCCACAGAGCTGGCTTGTCCCTTCTACCATGAAGGACCCAATGACAAATGAATATTCTGTGACCCAAAGGGGGACCTGGCAGGCTTGCATGTGATCTTTAATCTTCTAGATTAAGTGCGTTCTATTGTAATAGTCCAAACGGACTAACACAGGCTTTGATAGCCATGGAGGATGGAAGAGTAAATTGAAGAGGAGTCTTGGAATAATAACACTCACTTTTACTTAGCAACTAAGGCTGGCTTGCTGAGAGGGTTGTCACAAGTGGTGACCAAGTAGTCACGAGTTACCCAGAGGTAAGTTATTTGTACTACATTCTTTCATAATGGAGGAGGTACTTAGTTTCTTTTTTCCCCAAAATAACGGCTCCGGATTTGAGTTGGTTTTCATTTCAAGGCATAGACCTCAACCATAGAATTTCTCAACCAAGGGAAATAAGTATATTTTAGGTTGTTGTCTTAGTTAGGTTTTCTATTGCTGTGAAGAGACAGCATGACCACAACTCTTAAAAGGAAAAAAAAAAAAAACATTTAGTTGGGGAGGCTCACGGCTCAGAGGTTTAGTCCATCATCCTTTTGGAGGTTTCCTGTTTGTGATTTTGGGCTTGAGTCTGAAGCAGGTAATTAGGAATTAAGGTTGTGTAGCCCAGTTGTATTAGATTATGTTATACTACATGTAATAGATTATGGTCCTATAACATCTCCGAGATCTGCTGCATAAGAGATTTAATTTTTTTTTTCTGTAGTGAACCATGGCCATTCCTAACAGTGACCTGTGAAGTCTCCAAAAGGATGATGAAGCCCCACAGCAATAAATTCACCTGGATTGTGGTAACACCAGATAAACTAACAAACACCACCCAAAGATCAGCTTTGGACTATAAACTACTCAGGAAAACTTCACAACATTTAGCCAAGAGGATCCTACTGTGGAATATTAGTTGACAATGTCCTACATTTATTTATGCTGTGGAACATTTGTTTAATGATGCAAAAATGTGTTGCCTTCTTTTATGTTGCATTTGTTTAACTCTGTGAAGCTGTGTTACCTTGCCTGCCTAAAACACCTGATTGGTCTAATGAAGAGCTGAATGGCCAATAGCTAGGCAAGAGAAGGATAGTTGGGGCTGGCAGGCAGAGATAATAAATAGAAGGAGAAATCTGGGAAGAAAAGATTGAGGAACGAGAAAAGGAGAAGAAGAGGAGGACATCAGGGGGCAGCCACCCAACTACACAGACAGCCATGAAGTAAGAAGTAAGAAGGGACATGGAAAAAGATAAAGGCCCAGAGACAAGAAGTAGATGGGAAAATTAAAAAAAAAAAAAACTGGGTAAAAAGTAAGCCAAACTAAGACCAGATATTTGTAAGTAATAATAAGAGTCTGTGTGACTCTGGGCAGCAGGCCTCCTAAAGAGTAAAAAAACAACAAAAAACAATCCCCCCCAATCATGGTCCAGTTTTAGAGACTGCTCAAGTTAGGACTTCAGATAAATACTGCACTTTGGACAACAGATAGCTCTCCTAGGACTTGATCTTTATCTCAATTTTTTTTCAGGATCTCCTAAAGATGCCGTCATCCTCAGACAACAGGAAATAATTTTAAGAACATGATGCCCACATTCTCAAGAGGTGGGGTGGTGGTTTTTTTTTTGATCATGTAGTAGATGTTTGTCATTATTTAGTGTGGGCAGTAACAAGTTGTTATTGGTCATGATCAGAGAGGAAACTAAGCAAAGGAAGTTAGATTCAGGGACCTTGTTATGAAAAGAAAAAGGGGGAAATACAGAAATGACAGGATAAATTGGATGGCAGTGGCACATGTCTTTAATCCTAGCACTCAGCAGGCAGAGGCAGGTGGATCTCAGTGAGTTAGAGGCCAGCCTGGTCTACAGCGTGAGATCCAGGACAGCCAAGGTTACACTGAGAAAACAAAAACAAAAACAAAGAAACAAACAAAAAGGATAAAAAGGTAGCTTATTGAATCTACTCTCAAACTAAAAAAGCAACTACTAGTCTCAAATATTTTATGTTGGTATAGATTTTCTTATAATTGATACAAATTTAAGGCTATTTTTGTTATACCATATTATATTTCTCTGTTTCTTGTTTAAAGTATTATACCTATGCAGCTAATTTAAAAATGTAATATAAAATTTTTGTCCTTGTAAACTATTTAGGGATAACAAAGAAAGACATGTTATTAGTTAGTCATCTATAACAATCAAATTTAGAGTCATGCTAGGTATGTTTTCAAGGTCAAACAGGGGCCTACAGAATACATGTAAAATGATTTACTAATGTAAGGCTTTTCATGACGATGGGACACATCTGCTCCTGGAAGTATCAAGTTACTTTAAAAAGGTATGATGGGCATTGAAGAACCTCAATATGGAGTTTGCTTTCAATGTGGTGAAGGCAGCCATTGGACAGGAAATTGCTCTTGCCTTGAGTGCTGACAGTATGCTGTCCAAATTAGGCAAACAGACACAAAAGAAGGTGACTGACAAACTTTGCCAAGACAAGGTAGGATAGCCCTTCACAATTTCCTGCTGCACAAAATCTCTTCTGTCAGATATTCTAGACCTGGAGGTCAAAGATGGATGCCCTAACATTGCAGAAGAATCTTGGGTGACTGTCCAGGCAGCCAACTGTTTTTGTTAATTCTATAGTTTTGGAAGATGCTTACTTGGCACTTCCTGCTTACTTATATCTCTCTCAGGTCTCTGATGGGGTTGAGGACTAGATAGTTACAGGTACAGTTTTCCTTAGTTATAATAGAAAGTAAATTAGGTACAAAACTTTGACTCATCAAGAGAGAATAGATAATGGAGTTTTTTTCTCTGAATTTGCCAAATACAAATAAACTGGTCATTGTGAATGTAATTCATATATATATATATACATATATATTCATATATATAATACGGTTTATTTAACTTTATTTTATGTGCATTGGTGTGAAGGTGTCAGATCCCCTGCAACTGGATCTTCGACAGTTGTGAGCTGCCATGTGGATGCTGGGAATTGAACTCAGGTCCTCTGGAAGAGCAGTCAGTGCTCTTAACCACTGAGCCATCTCTCCAGCCCGTGAATGTAATTCTTACCTGATAATTGTTCTTATTGTATATAGTTTTGCTGTTAGAGTTAAAAACCCTTCCTTTTTATTTGAACAAAAAGAGGGAAATGTTGCAAGAGATTTGCTTATGTTGCCGCTCTGAGACTGCCAATGAAGTTGGATCTGAGTTTGGAGGGTGGAGTCTACACTAAACTGTCCAGAGTGGCCCATAGAGCTTTCTGGTGAACTCAGAGGAAGCTAGAGGGATACAGAGGGGGATTAAGGAAAGGCCTAAGGAGATGGGCAGCTGTTTAGACTGGGGAAGGTGGGGAACAGAGCAGGTGATTGTTTGTGGAAATCTTAGTTCTTTTCCCTAATAGTTAACTCCTGAGTTTTTTTTTTTTTTTAAGTTTTTTATTTATTTGTTATGGATACAGTGTTCTATCTGCATAGATGCCACCAGACCAGAAGAGGGCACCAGATCTTATTATAGATGGTTGTGAGCCACCATGTGGTTGCTGGGAACTGAACTCAGGACCTCTGGAAGAGCAGGTAGTGCTCTTAACCTCTGAGCCATCTCTCTTATGTTTTAATAAGACAATAGAAGAAGTTGCAATAATTTACATAATCTTTTCAGGAATAAGCAGAGGCTAGAGAATTTCTTTGAGACCTTGTCAAGTTGACAATTAAAAGCAAGCATGATAATTCAGAATGTTTGGAAACAAACTTTTTTATTTTGTGGCTTGGACTTTATAGGGAGGGTTGGAGAGCTTGGACTTTTTAGGGAGGGTTTGGAGCATGCTCAAAGTGGTGATAGTGGAAACTGGTCCACACTGGCCTGTAGAGGACTGGAAGGCGGGATGGGGGAATGGGGAGCACCTAGTTCTGGAATATGGGCAGTCGTAACACACTGACTGGAGACACAAGTGACCACAGAATCATCACAAGGCACTTGGGGGTAATGTTTCAGATGACAAGGGATAATAACCGGTAGAACAGCTGTAGGGGAGACGAGACTGCAACAAGATGACTGTGTGAATGACCTTGTACTTCTCACTATTAGCACTGGCGGTGAGCATGCAATAGAGGGAGCTCTCTATGCGCAGCAGAACTACGAAGCTCATGAGAGGAACGATGCCCCCTGACCGGACAAGGCCGCTGCACCCATGAACCTGCACCCGATTAAGTCAGTCAAAATTCCAGCATGGAACCTGCAGAGGTGTGTGAGCCCCACCTCTTAGCTGAGGTGCTAGGAGCAATTGATGGTTTCTGGGGGAGGAGAGTCAGATTTCTTTAAGGGTGTGGTCCCTGGTAGGTCTTCCTTACTCTGCTGTACTGCCCCATGCTATGGTCTGTAGTAAACACAAATTAGACCCTGTAGCACTCTCTCTCTCTCTCTCTCTCTCTCTCTCTCTCTCTCTCTCTCTCCTTTCTTTGGATATTAAGTTGGTCTGTGAGTAGGGGTAGATCTGAGAGGAATTAAGAGTTGCGTACTGAATATAAGTAAAATATACTGCATGCATACATGAACATCTCAAAAATTAATAAAAATATATTAAAGGAGAATGTTTCGAAAGTCCTTGGTCCCTTTTGGACTTTCTGTCTCAGAACACAGCAGAAAAAGTGGAAAAAGTCAAGAAGTAAAGTATGAAAGAGAAAGATCTTAGCTATAACAGCAAGATTCAAAGGGGAGGAAGGAAAAGGAATTCTGCTGAGAGCCAGGGAGAGCCCAGTCCTGAGGGAGAAGGGTAGGGGGCCCAGTGGGTGTGCAGCTGACAGATAACGCTGAGTGATGGGGGGGGGGGCGACTTGCGTGAAGATTGTTGTTCCTGTTTTGTTTGTTTGAGACAGGGTTTCTCCGTGTAACAGCTCTGACTGTCCTGGAACTTGCTTTGTAGACCAGGCTGTTCTCAAACTCACATAGATCTGCTTGCCTCTGCCTCCCAAGTGCTGGGCTTAAAGGTGAGCACCACCACCACTGGGCAAAGGGGGAATTTTTAATTCTGTTTGGAGATAGTTGATGTACTAATTGCAGGTATGTACAGAGCTAAGCAAATGTGAACCAAGGCAATTGAGAAAAAAATTCAAAATAGATATATGATTATAATGTAATGTGCTGTAAATCACATTTTTATAGCTAGCAATAAAAATTAAATATTAACCAATATTTTGGCTATGACTTTGTTGAGAGGCTAGAGAGGGATCCATTGATAAGGGTCTGGTTTGTGAATTAATACAGATTAATACAGCGAATCTTTGTTCTTCTGAAGTCAAGAGTTAAAATCCTGAGAAACTGCTTAGAAAACCCGTGAGCATATGACCTAGAAATACGACAAGCAAGAGGAGAAACCAATGGCGGATCTGAAAGTGATGGGGGAAACGGCGTCTGAGGGAGGGCTGATCTGGAGAGGCTTCTTGTTTTAAGCCTCATGGCGCTGCTCAGCTCTTCAAACCACATAATGAAGTCTTTGACAATAAAAGTGAACTAAATATAAACTAGTATGGTAATGAGGTGGTGATCAGTGGGTCTCATGGTACGGTGTTCACAGGGAACGACTCAGAGGCTGCAGGCGTCCTTTGCGGTTTGGTCTTTGAAGTAGTCACAAGCTTACCATGTTCTTTCTGAAGGAACAGAAGGTCTGGGAAACAAGAGTCTCTCCCTGCTCATTTGGGTGTAAACAAATATGCAGATACTGCAAACATATTGGGCTGTTTCTCTCACTGGAAACACACACACACACACACGAGCCCACACAGGCATGCTCGTGCACACACACACACACAACGGCTGAAATGAAAAAAAAAGATAAAAGACATTGTGTGTGCACAAGGAGATCAGAGGACACAGTATCGTTATTCAGGTGCTGTGCACCTTTTTATATTCTATTTCTGCCGTGTGTGTGTGTGTGTGTGTGTGTGTGTGTGTAGAATCACACACACATACACATGCCCCATGGTATGCAACTGTTCTTCCACTATGTGGGTCCTAGCTATTGGCCTTAGGTTGTCTTAGCAGCAAGCCTCTTCACCCAATGGACCATCTTTCTGGCCCCATTCACTTTGTTCTTTGAGGCAGCATCTCTCTGTAGCCTAGGGGGTTCTGGCCAGGGAACTCTGGGGATGCACTTGACTCTGTCTATCTCTTTGCTTATCTTTTTCTGTTATTATTTTAATATAATATTTTAAGGAATTGTTGTATGGTTTCATGCGTGCTTTGATCTTATTCCCCGCTAATTCCTCTCCTACCAGATCCACCTCTACAAACCCAGCCTACCAACTTTATGTTCTCTTTCTAAACAATCTCGAGTCCAGTTTATGCTATCCATGTGTTCCTGGGTGTGGGGCCACCTGTGGCTCCAGGGGCCACACCATTGAAGAAAACCTTATCCCAGAAGCCCTCAGCTATTTCATTACCCTTGTAATGTGGGTTCTGAAGATCGAACTCAAATCCTGGTGCTTGCGACAGAGCCATTCACATTAACTTGTAGTCACATCTCTCTGGGGCTGTGCGCGCTCTCTGTCCCTGGTTTTTTCCCTTCCAGTCTCTCTGAACCTACTCCAATAAGCTTCCGGTCCTACCACCCTACAAAACCCACATTTTTCTAAAATCTTTCCCAATCATAATTCAGTTTTCTTAGGTTATTATTATTATCTTATAATCTTACTCAATGCACTGGCAGCATTTGGCCCAGCTGAACTGCATTTTCTAAGTCAGGTTTTCCACTGGGCACCCAAAGAGCACATTTTCCTCCTTTTCTCCTTAAATCACTGCCCCTTCCGTCTCCCTTGTGAACTTCTGATCTCTCATCTCAAGGCAGAAGCGTTCAGAGGGCAGTTACTGGCCGGGATTGCTCTTCCTTCTGATTTCTCATCCCAGGCACCCATAGATCATCTTACAGCCTTAAATATAATCAATAAACTGATGAAATCCAAACTTCTCTCTTCATTTTAGAGTTTTCTGAGAACTTCACATCCATGGATCTTGATCTACTTAGATGTGTCCCAAAGGAAATTTTAGACCTATAATTAAACTATTGCTTTGCCTGACAAAACAGCTCTTCCGGAGACTTTTCTCATATGAGTGTTTGGCTATTCCATCCTTTTAATGGTTCAGGTCAAATTTAGATATTTTTCTCGTCTCTCTTCTTTCTGGACCCTCACATTCCGTAGTCAGTTAAGAAGCTCTGTCGTCTGTACTCTGGGATGGTAGGACCCTGTCGCAAAGACGTCAGTTGCACACTGTGCACATAGCACAGAAAAACCAAGCTGTAACTGATTGGAGACCTTTCCTAGAGCCACGAACGGCTATGCTGGTTATGAGGGTAACGAACGGCTTTCTGATCCTCTCTCAGAGGGAATCTACGCTTGCTGCTGCCAACCTGGTTAACAGCCTGGTGCTGTCAGCCTGGTTAAGGCTGGCGAGGTCATGTGCCCTAGACGGGACCTTACTACTAGTCTTTGTTACACGAACATGTTAGACAGCCCTTCTAATATTCGTGTTCACAACAATAGATCAGTGTTTCTCCTAACCATCATCAGAGGAGATTCCTAGAGCTACAGGTGGAGGCCGGTGCAGAGGCTCATAACCTATCAAAGTGCCAAGAATAAGTATGGTGCCATGATTGGCTCTGAATGGGACTTCTACATTGTCCTCATCCAGGCTCCGGGAACACGGACAAAGAGGGATGGGGACAATGCAGGAGCCAGAGGAAACACTGCTGTGTGGCAGAATGCTGTCTCCCGGGCATGAATGGCTATTGCGGTCAAGGACTCACTGCGGCTGCGCGTTGGAGTACGTAGCTGGCTGGCTAGAGGCCGTAGTCTTCCATAGCCTGACAGGGTTCTCCAAGCTTGGCAATACGGAAACTTCCTCCCTCCCAGCCAGGCTTCCTGCTCTCTGCCTGGCCTCATCTGGAGGATGTCCCTGGGCCTGGAGGACTGATCTTATCGGAAAGCTGTCTCTAAACCAGATGCCTGACTTATCTTTAGCTTGAACCCCGACATAGATTCCTGCTAGAAGGCTCTCTTGCTGCCCACATGGTAACTGACTTGTGCTAGGAGCCTATGATAGGAGTGCGCCACCTAATTGAAATTAGGGTTTGTCCTCAGGCTCCCCAATTCTAAATATTCCTTATACTCTGGAATAAAATTGAGTTGGTTCACTGAAATCTGTCTCCCAGAGGGCTGTCTCTGTCTGTGCTCATGGGGTGCATACAAATCTTCCTGTTGCCCCTTCTGCCTCTTCCCCTCTAGAACTGATGGCCGTCAGAACCCCCACGGCTGTGCAACCCTGCACAAGATCTGCCTGTGGTTGGGCTTGTCAATATTTCAGCATGGTTGGGGAGGAGCGCATGAGGCCCTGTCTATTCCAGAGGAAGCTAGTCCCGTGGTTGACAGGAAGAAACGGGTGGCATTTTCTTGGCGGCGTACCCACTGAAAAGTAGCCGGGTTCCAGGAAATACCATCCCGCCGTGCTTGTGTACACAGATATCATGAAATCCAGGGTCACACACACATTAAAAGACATAAAGGTTAAAGGGGGCTTCTTGTGAGGAAGGGCTCCAGTTGAAGAGGGAGGGGGTGTGGGAGAGGGTAATGGAAGTGAAAAACGAGTGAAAAAATACTATATGGGTGAATGAAACTTTCAAAGAGTAAATAAAAATATAAAAGAAATTTATATGTTTTCATTTTTTTTTCCTGCTCAAACTTCCTGTGTGGTTGTAGCTTTTTCCTTATCTTTTCTTGGGTGTGTATGTTCATGTGTGTGCAAGGGCCGATGGATGGATGTGCAAACAAGCATGTGGAAGCCAAGCTCAACCTTTGGTGGTATTTGTCAGGTGTCATGGACCATTTAAAATTTTTGAGACAGGATCTCTCTCTGGCTTGGGGCTTATCAAGTACTCTGAGCTGCGAGCCCCAGGGAGCTTCCTGTCTTTGCTTCTGCAGTATTGGGATTACAAGCCGGGGCCACCATGTTTGATTTCTTTCTTTCTTTCTTTCTTTCTTTCTTTCTTTCTTTCTTTCTTTCTTTTTTTTTACATGGTTTCCCGGCATTGAACTCAGCTCTGCATGCTGATATAGTTAGCTTTTTGCTGACTGAGTCATCTCTCTTATTCTTTAACAGATTTTCTTTATGAAATTTTGAATTCATACGTTTAAATTCATAAGATGTCAGGATGCCTCATTTTGAC